ATATGCAAGCATCTTTCTATAGAAATGTATAAAGAAAGGAACGTTGAATTTGGTGAACCACCACCACCACCTACCATCACATCACTTGCTCACAGAGTCAAAAAGCTTTATTTTGTCACCAGAAAATAAGAGAAGCAGGAATTCTGGATAGCAAAATATAGAGGGCGGGAGCCAAGGGAATTAAAGGAGGCTGCAGTTTAAATTGAGGAGTAGGGTTAGTAAAAGAAGGGCTAGAAAATCACTTTTTACAGGATCAAAGATTGAGTGATATAACACACTAAGCAAGAACCTCAGATTAAAAGCAGTGCCATTTTAAACTCCCGCCCTACATGTGGGTGTATTTGCACAACACACTGAATCAGGCCAATTAGCAATCAGGCAACTACATTTCAACTTATGAAACTTGGTTTAATTGTGGCACATGTTTTAATGTGTTGTGTGATTCCACTCTTCTTGCTCGGTTTGCAGTTCAAAGAATTGTATAATCCTTCTAAAAATGAGCTAATTCAATAACCGAGCTACGCATGTTGTATGAATATAGTGTGACTAGAACTCTAAATGAGTGCCATTCACGATCTCTTTTACCTTGATAGGGTAACCTTCAACCAACCACATGGAGCAGAAGCTAAAGATCACTAGAACAAATCTTGCAAGACATTACCAGGCAATTCTAGCAGGAGCCTTTAGATATAAATTAGTTTACAGACTAAGCAGCCCCAGCCATTTGCATCATAGTTAAGCATTTTGCAGGGATAATTTCAACAAATGGCCAATCCCTGTAGCAAAATCTGAAAGACATAAAAATCCCACTAATCTTTAATTTATGCAGATGTTTAATTTAAACTTAAGTGTGGACCGCTGGCTACTGGGTCTGAAACCATATGAGACAAATTGAGACTTAACGCTCTATCATTCACAGCAGGGCGCATTTGATTTCCTAAACCAAACATAGCTCCTTGGTAGCAAGTAGGGGGCTGGAGGTGCAAAGGCTCCTGTTCCCTGAAGCCAGGACAAAGCTAGGCCTGTGATCAGTCAAACCAGACCTGCACAACCAACTCCTGGATGGCTATTCCTGTCCTGCAACTAATTACCTAAATGGATGCAGGCTGTTGAGAGACAGTCACTATTCCCTAATAGAATTTGCCCTCAAGTGCAATTTAATTTTCTCAGAGGTTGTTTTCCACCCCCCTCCTTCTTTCTCTTCTACTGACCCACACACAGAATCACTTTCTCTACTCTACACAGTGGAGATCACAGCACCTTTTCAGCAGGGAGACCTGACACCTTTTGCCTCTTCCTCTTTCACACTTTTTGGCTTCTCTTCCCCTTTTAAGTCCGAGTCTCTCCCACAGTATTAATCTGTGCCTTCCTAATTTCTGTCAAAGAAAACAAGCCCATCCAGTGGGGACGGGGAATTAAATGCCAGGCAGTAGGTCTGGCATGCTACAAACAAGTTTCACTTCTCAAGGTTAGGTTATCATCCTCTACATATCTTGAAACGAAAGACCTGCCTTCTTTTTATCACTGGTAAGTACAGCCCTTCTTATTTATGTATAGCTAATTTTGGACACCTGAAAGTTTTCTCGAATGAAATCATTTAAACTGAGGGGCATCAAGTTTAGAAAGAAATACAAGGGTGTTCTTGTACCAAAACTGGGCTCTTGATGGAGCCAGTGTAGAAGAATTTCCTGATGGTTTGAGCCCCATATTTCTATCAGCAAGTAACTGCACTTTTCTTACAAAGAAAAGATGGAGGCTGTATTTTAAAAAGGCTTACAAAAATGCCTGTATCGGTAGGCTTCTGAGTTTGCTTCTGAATGTGCTTCTGCGACATTTTTCTTCCTGTATGAAGACAAAGGGGAACAGCCTCAGATCTGGGGATTTTTTCTGTTGTGTTTGGGACTGGACATGGTTGTGTGCTGCTTACTGAGATGTAATTTTTAAGGTGTATTTTTTCATAATAGGTAGTATTCACCATTTTCTGTACCCCTGCATTGCTACTGCTTAATTTGCACGTGTTCCTTGTTATGATGCTTTCTTCCAGGTTTTCCAGTGGGATGGTGCTTGGTTTATATTTATATTTGTATTTTGTCTCATGACCACTTGATAAAGTCACCAAGGCAGTACTCCACAAACTGAAAATAGAATAGAAGCACTTTGTTATGAAACAATATAATGCAATCAATCATTTTTACCAAAGACTTTCAAGAAATAAGTCCCTGGTTTCTCTTAAAGCAAAAGAGGCATTTTTAAATAACTAGAATAATCCCATCAGCTGCCAAATCTTCATACCAATTTCTCTGAAATTATTTCTCAGTGCTGACATGAAGTGTGCTGCAGCCTTTTTAGATGAGAGAGAATTAATGGCTGCTGGCCAGGGAGGAAAAAGAAATCTATAATCAAGTACACTAATGAATTTTAGACTAATTATGCTAAGTAATCCCATGCTCACAGGCCTGCCATGTGAAGAAGCGAAGACTGAGAGATGATGACACCCAGGGAATGTCGTGGCTTAACAGGAATTTAGACCAGGGATTTTGTTCTTCTGTATCCAACTTTCTTCCTGTTGCCCCAACTCAGTCTCACATCTAAGTGGCTCCAGTTTTTCCCCTCAAATTATAATCTCAGAGGCTTTAATTAATAAAAGGATAAAGATGAGCATGAATGGTTCAAGGCTATATATATATATTAAAAATTACATTACAAATTGAAGAATAGCGATTCCTGGGTACATATATTTCAGTAAAAAAGGAAAGCGATCACCAGGAAGTAAAACACCAAGGTTTTAATAAATAAAATCAAGCTTTCGATGGCTAACATCTGCCATCATCGTCAGGATACAAGCCAGTTAGTGAGGAAACCTGCTTATAAGCATCGCCACACCTAAACTCTACGCATGGACCTTGTAACAGGTCCAAGCCAACTAATCCTTACTTCACTTACAGCCTTCAGTGATTCTTTCTTTTAGCTCTTACTTACATCCACCTAGCTTTCAATGGCTAGCACCTGCCATCATTGTCAGAATACAAGCTAGCTAGTGAGGAAACCTGCTTACAAGCATAGCCACGCCTAAACTCTACGCATGGACCTTGTAACAGGTCCAGGCCGACTAATCCTTGCTTCACTTACAGCCTTCAGTGATTCTTTCTTATAGCTCTTACTTACATCCACACAACCACCCACTTCCTCCCTCCCTTTAGTTCCTGAGTCATATAGGCAACGTGTGTTTCTCAAAATTAAAGGGTCCTCTGCACTATTGAATTGATTCTTCTTTCTGTGTTCCTTGGGACGTTTCTCTCCTCCACTCCTCCGGCACGCATCGCACTCATTTGCATTCTTCAATCCTGTCACTCCTTCAATCCCCCCACAATCCTTGCCACCAATCTCATCCACAATTTTATTTCCCCCCACTGTTCCCAGCATATCGCATCCTCCATGCTCCTCCTTCATGCCACCTGGTGCGACTCTCAATCCGGTTGCCTCTCTTTCAGTCTTCTGTAACGCCGCTCTCCGGGAGCGCGTGACCACCCCCATAATGGGGCGGCTGTAAGTATTGATCTTCTGTACATCCATTGAAGGCATGTCTCTGTCTCGGTGGCTCTGATCAGTGTGGCCGCATAGCAAAGGTGTTATTCTGCCATCGCTCATGGTAGGTGTTGCCTTTTTTGAATTCCTATCCATTTCCAAGGCGCCGGCGACCAGATGCGTTGTAGCGGGGGCACCATTGGGGACAATGGAGCCGATATAGTCACTGGGGTAGCGAGTTTGTTTTGTGTTAATTGGGACACTTGTTGTTCTTATTCTTGAGTATTGGGTACAATGCAAAGAGGTGTCTGGGGCATCCGAGGATGGGCTACTAATATCAACAAATTTCTTAATTGATGGCGGATGTACACACGAATCGTTAACTAAAGGGGGTCTAGATTGTAGATGTCTCTCTTCTTTGTTGCCAGTTTCATCTAATGGACACCCAGAGTTTTTGTTACTCAGATGTTTTTTCCCAGGTCGTCTACGCATTTCCCACGCCTTCATGGTCTGATATGCCGGGCGTAGGTCCACATGTCGATTGATTGACATGCTGTCTGAGAATCAGGCTTCTTTGAGTAAACTACCACTCTTGGAGGTGTCACTGGCAACCACCCTTACGTCGTCAAAATTAAATTTATGACCAAACTCCTCCATGTGAGTCAGTATTTGGGAGTACTGCTCACCTCTTCTTATTGCCAGCTTGTGTTCCTGCATTCTTGTTCCGACCCTTTTGGAAGTTTCTCCCACATAATTGCCTGGACAGTCATTACAGTTAATCCTGTAAACGACTCCAGATCTCTCAACTATGGGGAGTGGGTCCTTTGGTCTCATAATGCAGGACAACCGTAGCATCTAATGGATGCCCCTTAGATTTTATGGCAGCGCTAGAGCCGGCGTTACATCGCATTGGGACAGAGGAGGCTGGAGATTCTATCAGGCACCGAGTAACAGGACTGTTAATGGGCCACAAATACTACCAAACTCTATCCAAAAATGAGCTGGAGGCTCTTAGCCAACTAAAGGAGGAGGATGCCACCCTCATATTGCCAGCTGATAAAGGGAGGGCTACGGTTGTCATGGACAGAGCTCATTACACCAGCAAGGCGCTTGGGCTACTCAGTGATGCAACGGCCTACAGAACCGTAAGTGGGGACCCCATGGTGACCCTTAAGAACCGGGTCAATAAAGTGCTCAATGCCCTGAAATGAGGCAAAAGACTAGATGATGAAACCATTGCAAGGATACGCCCTAGCGACACAGCGGCCGCTAGATTTTATGGCTTACCCAAGGTCCACAAGGAAGGGGTTCCCCTCCGCCCTATTATAGCATTTAGGGGTACCCCCACATCAGAATTGGCCAAATGGCTAAGCCACCTCATTGGCCACCTGGTCGCAGACAACCAGACCACGGTAAGATCTGCGGAGGAATTCCTGAGTAGGATAAGAACTTTGAGGATAGAGGATGACGAGGTGATGGTGTCGTTTGACGTCATCTCCTTCTTCACCTCTATCCCACAGGACCTGGCCATTGCGACGATCAAAGATCTTTTGAGCCGCAGAGGACCAGGACATTACCAGGATTCACTCCGCTCTGATGACCTTGTGGACCGTCTAGTCCTTTGCCTCAAAACGTATTTTACGTTTCAGGGCACAATGTATGAGCAAATAAAGGGCACCCCCATGGGGTCACCTATTTCAAGTGTTATTGCTGAGGCTGTATTGCAGCAGTTGGAACACGTAGCGATGACCCAATACTGCCCAAAGTTCTGGGCCTGCTACGTTGACGACACATTCGTCATAATTAAGAGGAGTCAAAAAGCTGACTTTGTGGACACACTTAATTCGGTGTGCGTGGATCTGCAATTTACGGAGGAGGAGGAGTATCAGGGTAGGCTGGCATTTCTTGATGTCTTAGTCCAACGCCAGCCAGATGGGACCTTAACCACCCGGGTCTATCGCAAACCCACGCACACCGATAGAATTTTGCACTACAACAGCAATCACCCGGTGGCCCACAAAGTCAGCTGCATTAGAACCCTCTTTAAGAGGGTGGACTCCCACTGCAGTACAGCCGAAGCTAGGATGGAGGAAAGAAAACATCTCCTCCGTCTCTGTAGGTACAATGGGTACCCCATGAAATTCATCAGACGCCACAGTACTCTGTCCAAACCATCCCAAAATCCATCAAGTGGGATGGCACCATCACAGACGACTCGTATTACCCTCCCTTACATTAGCAACGTCTCGGAAGCCACCACCAGACTATTGGCACCCTATGGTGTAAGGGTTGCACATAGACCTGACCGGACGTTGCGTTCCTGCATTATGAGACCAAAGGACCCACTCCCCATAGTTGAGAGATCTGGAGTCGTTTACAGGATTAACTGTAATGACTGTCCAGGCAATTATGTGGGAGAAACTTCCAAAAGGGTCGGAACAAGAATGCAGGAACACAAGCTGGCAATAAGAAGAGGTGAGCAGTACTCCCAAATACTGACTCACATGGAGGAGTTTGGTCATAAATTTAATTTTGACGACGTAAGGGTGGTTGCCAGTGACACCTCCAAGAGTGGTAGTTTACTCAAAGAAGCCTGGTTCTCAGACAGCATGTCAATCAATCGACATGTGGACCTACGCCCGGCATATCAGACCATGAAGGCGTGGGAAATGCGTAGACGACCTGGGAAAAAACATCTGAGTAACAAAAACTCTGGGTGTCCATTAGATGAAACTGGCAACAAAGAAGAGAGACATCTACAATCTAGACCCCCTTTAGTTAACGATTCGTGTGTACATCCGCCATCAATTAAGAAATTTGTTGATATTAGTAGCCCATCCTCGGATGCCCCAGACACCTCCTTGCATTGTACCCAATACTCAAGAATAAGAACAACAAGTGTCCCAATTAACACAAAACAAACTCGCTACCCCAGTGACTATATCGGCTCCATTGTCCCCAATGGTGCCCCCGCTACAACGCATCTGGTCGCCGGCGCCTTGGAAATGGATAGGAATTCAAAAAAGGCAACACATACCATGAGCGATGGCAGAATAACACCTTTGCTATGCGGCTACACTGATCAGAGCCACCGAGACAGAGACATGCCTTCAATGGATGTACAGAAGATCAATACTTACAGCCGCCCCATTATGGGGGTGGTCACGCGCTCCCGGAGAGCGGCGTTACAGAAGACTGAAAGAGAGGCAACCGGATTGAGAGTCGCACCAGGTGGCATGAAGGAGGAGCATGGAGGATGCGATATGCTGGGAACAGTGGGGGGAAATAAAATTGTGGATGAGATTGGTGGCAAGGATTGTGGGGGGATTGAAGGAGTGACAGGATTGAAGAATGCAAATGAGTGCGATGCGTGCCGGAGGAGTGGAGGAGAGAAACGTCCAAGGAACACAGAAAGAAGAATCAATTCAATAGTGCAGAGGACCCTTTAATTTTGAGAAACACACGTTGCCTATATGACTCAGGAACTAAAGGGAGGGAGGAAGTGGGTGGTTGTGTGGATGTAAGTAAGAGCTATAAGAAAGAATCACTGAAGGCTGTAAGTGAAGCAAGGATTAGTCGGCCTGGACCTGTTACAAGGTCCATGCGTAGAGTTTAGGCGTGGCTATGCTTGTAAGCAGGTTTCCTCACTAACTGGCTTGTATCCTGACGATGATGGCAGATGTTAACCATCGAAAGCTTGATTTTATTTATTAAAACCTTGGTGTTTTACTTCCTGGTGATCGCTTTCCTTTTTTACTGATATATATATATATATATATATATATATAGGTCTTTGGTTGTTCGGGTTTTCTCCCGCGTAAAATTGGAAGTGTCAAAGACCTATATACAAATACCCGCGAAAACCTCAGAAAACCTCAGAAAACAAATATATATATATATATATATATGTGTGTGTGTGTGTGTGTGTGTGTGTGTGTGTGTGTGTGTGTGTGTGTGTATGGTACAAATAAAATACGAACACCAGGAGAGTATAAATATAAAAATACACTTTCCTAAAAGCTGCCAAGCTTTCGTTTGGAAACTCCAAACATCATCAGGGCTAAGGAGCCAGTAAGCAATGATGTCTTAAATGGGTTTTGCCGGCATCTGCACCCGGCTCATGGACCACGTCACCGGTCCCGGCTGGTTAATTAGTGTTCCAGACAGATGAATTAGCAGCTGCGGAGAACAACTCTTCCCCCAGTATAGTTAAAATATTCCCAGCTCTCCAGCAAATTAAATTCTAGAACAGGTATGCAGCCTCAAGGGAGAATCTTAGGAATGACTACAAAAGTGTATCTTTTGTATTTGTACCCCCACACACACACACACACATACACACATCTTATTTCTCTGGCACCAGCACAGGCAAAATAATCAATCTGGAGGGAGAGTGTTCTACTTTCAGATACTTCTCTGGTGGCTAGGTACAGAGAACAGTATAGATACCATGTTGTACCTTCTCTGTTAGTTCAGAGATGATCTTTCTGTGGTCTTAATATAGTCCAAATCAAAATTGAAAGGATCTTCTGGGCAAAGGTGTCCCTCTCCTGTGACAATGGATAATCATTGCCTTTCCCAACTCTCTCTCTACCACTCCCCCCTTTTGCCTTTCCAACCAGTTTCCCTAATTATTCCATTCTGCCTAGGAGCTGGTTCATCATTCTTCTCCTCCCAGCATCCTTTGATTTATCTTTCTGTCTGAAGCACAGCTCTCTCCTCCTCCTCCTCTTTCTCTCACAGGAATTCAATTTTCATTCATTTTTCTGCTTTGCTAGATTGATATAGACCCTCTGCCCTGGTCCATATTACTCACCGTAACCAGGAGTGCAATACTGCAGAGGAGCTAGCTTTGAAGGGAGATTTTTTTTCCATGCACAAGAAAAGGGCAAGAACCTTCATTGCAGAAGAATGAGATATGGTTTTTACTCTTCTGATTTGTCTTCCACCTTCTCTAAATGTAACCCTTCATAATATTTCTTGGATCTTATTTATGGCTATTTTAAATATATGTCTCTGTGTATATTTTCTGGTCACACACACACAAACACATACACACACATTAGATGTTGGTTGGAAGTAAAAATAAAAACAATGAGTTTCATAAACTTTTCTGTAGTGGTCATCATTACGGATTTCTAAATCTGAGGGGGGGGGGAACAAAACCAAAACCTGACTCTAGCAACAGTGAATATTTGAAAATGAGCATACTGGAGAAAAAATGGCAGCGTGGCCACTCAGCCTGGTTTGCTGACTTTACAGACTCTTCAAGGTTTTGTGTTTTTTTGAACTCCATCTCATTGCAGAAATGTCTTCTCTTAGAAAATGAATCTCTTCTTGCAAACTGCAATATTGATATCATCATTTAAATATGTTCCTTTGAACTGCTGTATGTGTGCTGCAAAATCAGGACAAACTCTAAAAGGCAGCAAGGAGTTCAAATGGCCCATTTCTCTTTGCTGCCATCTAGTGGTTGCATGATTTTTTTCAGCCAAGTTATGGTAGTCCTGGTTGTGCATGTCAAAAACAAAAAGACAGTTGACCACTCTGACCTTCATTTTTTTTTCTCTCATTAGAGCACCATAATTACATATACTGGAAAGGCCATCGCACAACTCCATCTGGTGTGCCCATTGCACTCTTGTCTAGATTTGGGGGGTTTTAGATAGTAATGCCCTAATTACCTCATGGCTTGACTACTGCAACATGCTCTATATGGGGTTGTCCCTGAAGGCCTCCCAGAAGCTTTAACTGATTCAGAAGGTGGCAGCACAAGCAGTGATGGACATGCCTGGATATGCCCATGAAACATATCAGCTTTTCAGGCTGCATTAATTTCCAGTTTGCTTCTGGATGTGATTCAAGGTGCTGGTTGTTATCTATAAAGCCCTACATGGCTTACTTGAGGGACTGCTTGTCCCCCTTAGCATCTGCCCACCAATTCAGTTCTGCAGGTTCTGGTTTCCTTTCATTAAATAAGGTCATTTATCGCAATCCTGGAAGTATACCTTCTGGAATGAGCTTTCCCCCAAGAAAAAGATGATCCCCATTCTACTATTTCTTAGAAAAGTCATGAAGACCTGGATGTTCACTCAGCCCTTTGGCAAGGGTGAATGAGACCCCTTGCTTCATTCCATCTGGTTGGTCATGCTTGCCAACTTTTATCTTTCATTTATTTTACTTTGCTTTCTTTGATTGTTGTTAGCCACCCAGAGTCATTGAGAGTTGGGTGGCATCACAAGTTGAATAAATTAATTATTATTTTACCTCAGAACTTCAGTTTTGCAGATTTCTAAATAAATTTGTCAGTCAGTGGATTCAGAATCTTACCAGAGGTCAACCAATCCCACCATGAATTAAATTTCATCTTATGTATCTGACACGCACATTCCAGCTGCAATTCCTTCCTTACTGATTCAAGCAAGAGAACGGGTGTGGAGGTTCTCCTCTACGCCCCTGCTCCTTATGGACAAAAGATGCTTGAATGGGCCCCAAAATACAGGAACGACTGGGTAAGAGCAGAACTATATAAATATTTCAGATATTCTGTTGAAAGTCACGGACCTGTGTGTTTTTAGCATCATGAATTGTATCAGCCTGATTTGTCTGTTTGATTCTAATTGATTCCAATGTCTAAAAAAATCAGACTGGTTTTCCACAGGGACCATTTGAATCAGTCCAGGCTTGATTGCCACAGGCCTGCTAAAAGCACCTCTGTAGAGAAAGGCCAGCACTGTTCACCACAGAGGCGCACGCACACATAGTGTCAGGTGACTCTAAGCTTGTAAGGTCTGTTGGGACCATAACTTTCAGAATTTATATGCTCGATGGGAAATTCTGGGATTTGTAGTGCTAAGACATCAAAGGGGCTAGAGAAAACTCTTTGGAGACTGAAGAGGACCCATTTATTCTTTAATTGGTCTATTGGATGATTTTGAGAAGCATTACTGGAGACAATATTTCCAATGTCCCATGAAGTCATTCCTTCTTGTTCCTGCTTTCCCAGAAATTATGTACGTGA